AATAACCCTATCTATATACCTCAGGATTGTACACGCTTGGATCAAATCTCTTCTCAGTCTCCTCTGTTTGTTGTTGAGTTTTCATTCTCTTAAATTGTCTGCATATGACAATTTAAGAGACCACAAATCATGCTTTGATTCTTGATGAGGACACACAAGAATGCACAGAAATACCCAGGTCCCTTTTGATTGTATTTGTCATGTCATGTACAGTGCGGAAATGAGAATCTGGGCACCTGCTGATATTATTCTAAGCACCTGTACCCTGAGTTCTGCAATTCTATATCTCATCCACAGTGCAACTCCAGCAGCATGCCTCACCATCTCAATGACTTTATCAGAGCTTTCTTCTATGTTTTCAATGTCGAACAGGTTGGCCGGTGATGACTCCATCTGCTGCCTCAGCTTCTCATTGGCCTGGGCCATCTGAGGCAGAAAACACTGCAGCCTGTCTAGAACTGAACAGACACAGGCATTCCTCACTCAGAGAGCGCAGACAGACACAGATCAAAACGCTGATCGAAAGATCACTGGGGGAAAAAATCGTTTTGATCAAATTTTCAGAGCATCAAAGTGCATTTCAAAACAGTACCAGAAGTAGCAATATTGGGGTTATTAATCCTTTTGCACAGTATAAACCACAACCTTCTCCATGTGTTTTAACTACACCAGCGCAATCAAGACACCTCAGCCATATCAATACCTAGACACTGAAAACTGCTGCGCTCTCAAAGAGCCGGCACTTGCCGTGCAGCAGTGAACTGAGAGGAGAGGGAAACGTACATAAAAAATGTTCAGGCAGGAACAGAGAAATGTTCTTGTTTTTATAAATATGAACTCACCGTTGCTCCTGGGAACTTTCACTGTTTGTAAGGTGCCGCCACTCTTGGATGATCTAGGTTTTAGAAGCAGCTTGTCTTGCAGAGCTACAAAAACAACAGGGCGGAGAGTAGAGGAGTCTATTGCCATATCTCCATGTGCAACGGGACGGATGGCGCTCTCTCGGGACATACACGGTACAGCAGACAACAAACACACAATGTACACAGTACATAATGAAGAGTGATAGTTTGTAAACAACCAGAACAATAAATATGTGGTTAGTGAACTAAAGTACCTGGAAGAAAAAGCACAACGCAGTCGGATCGGTCAGGAATACCTGGATGTAATGCAAGTTCTTCTGTGTTCAGTGAGCTCTACAGTAACAAGTTATTAAACGTAGTTTTTGTTTTAGAATGAAATGTATTTCCATCTGTGATTATATCAGCCTTAGCGTATATCAACAGAGTATGTATGAGAAATGTTTATCACGTCCAGATACAACACAGTATTTTATAACAAACGGTTAGAGCTGTCTGGATGGGACTGTTCAAATTGGCCCTGAACACAAGCTTTCGCGCTAGTTATTTTTTTCGGTTCCGGCACAAACCTCCGCCTCTGCCACACGACAGCAGTTCGTGAGAAATGGGCTTGTCGGGTCTTCCGTCCGCCTGCTCGCTGTCCCCCATCCTGCCGGCCGGGACCCAACACCGCCACGCGCGCTCCTCACCCGAGGAGCCCCATCAACATCCGGGTCGACGAGTTCAGCCCCGCCCCCCCAGCGGAAGAGGGAAGTGAGAGCGCAAAGAGAAAGGCAACGCGCCACCCACAGGCTGGAGGAATACACACGCCCGTCGACGAGCTTTTTTAAAATCGTTATTGCACCAACACTATAAAATAATAATAATAATAATAATAATAATAAACTTTATTTTATATAGCGCCTTTAAAGGTGGCTTCTCAAAGCGCTTTACAGGATGACAAT